CTCACTTCTTTGCAGAAGCGGAGAACTACAGGTGTGGACTACAGATTACCTGAGGAGACTAAGTTAACTAGTTGGATAATTTAGCTATTATTATCCCCTCCTCTTCTTTATTTTGAGTAATAAGGGCTCTCACTCTGCTTGGAGGTGGGAGAATATTGGGAAACAACATTGTTTTCTTCATCCAGTCTCTAAAATTTAAGCTTGGCACAAGCCACATAGGAAATACCCAAATGCCCTTTGGAGATGCTTAGCACTGCTCATTAATTCTCACAATAACCCTAATAGGCATTGCAATTTCCATTTCATTGATGGGAAAAGTGATTCCCAGAGAATCCTAGTAACCTATCCTAGGTCATTAAATAGTCACAGTGCCTGACATACAGTAAGCGTTTAATAAATATTCTATTAAATTACCTGTCTGTCTATCTATCTATCTATCTATCTATCTATCTATCTATCTATCTATCTATCTATCTATCTAGGACTAGGACTTCTGTGAGAATTTCTTCATCCCCAGATTGGTACTTTAAAAATGGTTGCTTCTTATATGTGGATTTGAAGGTCAATTTTCAAGATGCCATTGTTTTAAGTTAGAAAGGCATGTTTGAACAGTTGTACCTAATATTAAACTTTTTGCTCTAAGTTTTTTTCTCAGTTGCATCCTTATAATTTTTGGCAATATGTCCAATTGAACTTCACAGGAGACATCATATTTCAAAAGTGGTTCTGCTCAGCCATTTTTGAACATTCCTGGCATAAGGCCCCATGACGTGGAACAGAGAAGATTCTAAAGATGAAGCTCACTGACAGTGAACAGAATAGACTTATCTAGTGGCAAACCCACCAAACACCAACTTGTACTTTGGAAAATGCAACTTATAGTTTGATAGCCACTATAAAACCAAGGGTTAATTCACTGGCTTTAGAAAATGAAGAAAAAAGAAGTCATAAGAAGGGATAACAGAAGAATCCTGTAGCTTCATTTCTGGAGAGTTTAATTATAGGTTCAAAAACTTAACTTGCACCAACCATCAAAGTCCCAAGAACTCCAAAAAAGCCTGAACAGTGGTTGCACTGGTGCAATAAATGATCGTTTTAAAAAATTATGAAAGTTTCATTCACTTTTCTTCTTCATATTCTTAAAATTTGCTTGAGGACTTTGTCTTTGTTTATCTTGCTGCCCAAAACAATGAATGGTATTTGCCAACTAGCTACTCTTGAGTGCAATGCCAAACACTGTTCCTGTTTATGGAACAAGTCCTTGGTCAACATCTTTGTTTTCATGCTAATATTGCACACTAATAGTCAACCTACTAAATATATTCATTCAGTATACCCCAAGGTAAACTGGGGGGATGAAAAGAAGTTTAATATACTTTTTGACTTGCCAGGAATTAACAATCTAGTTGGCAGTATAAAATATATTCATGTGAAAAGATAATTACCAACTAAAACAGGAAATGTGAAGTGCCAAATGAGTACTATAGATAATAAATGCTATACAGTTTCCAAAAAGGGAGACCACAATCCAGGACAGTCTGGCAAGTGTTCCTAAGGATGTAGGATTAGAGGTGGGCAGGTAGAAATTAAATAAGGAGAGAGGAAAGGGGAGGTCTCTGGGAGAGTGACAGGAGTGTGTTGGTAAGTATTTAACAATGGGCTTTCCAAAAATAGATATACTCATGATACACCTTTAAGTTTGATCTATGTTATGAACATTTTATGAATCTTTTTCTTAAGTTTAGATGATTAACAAAACATAACTCAAGCCCTGATTTGCATAATTTGCTGATTTCTGAGATGTAAATATATACGTTGAAAATTTAACATGGACTCTGAAGCCAGTATGAGCTATCTCCAGCATAACTCTGGAGGTGGGAGATATGAGCAGTGATAGGGAAGAGGGAAAGTTTTGCTTATGAAAGTAGAGCCAGGCTGTAAAGAAACATGCAAGTTAAAGAGTTTGGGCAGTGGAATATAAGCTCTTTGAGGACAGGGATTGTTTCATTCTTTGTCTTTGTGTCCTATGTAGCATGATGATGTACATAAGTGTCTGTAGAACTGAACTGAGTCATCAATTTAATTTAACCTGGAAAAGTGAAAGGGAGGAGGGGGAAATGTCAGCTATTTTCAGGAATATAAAGGAAAACCTTAATATTTGTTTTCCTCAGTTCCAGAGGATAAAAAAGAAGGAATGATGAGTAGGTATTGAAAAGAGGCAAATTTAGGTTTGGTGAATAAAAAAGCCTTAGTAACCATTAATGCTATCTAAAATTGGAATGTTCTATTTAAAAGAAATGGTGGGTTCCCCATCACTTGAGGTCATCTGTCAAGGGCTAGATGATAATTTGGAAGTTGTGTTGTTGAGATGATTTGTTTTGGAGTGTAGGTTGGAGTAGATTGCCACTGAGGTTTCTCCCAACACTAAAATTCAGTGATTCAGGGATCCTTTAGACAAGTAGGCTGCAAACTTTTTTCCTCTTGCATCACTTTACTGTGATAACTTAAAGGCATTTCTGGATATGAGTATGACTTGCTGAATAGAAGTCTCAGCAAATAATAACAGCTGGCATTAATATATTGCTTTAAGCTTTACAAAGTACTTTGCACACATTATTTAATTGGCTTAGTGTGAATTCTGTTGCTTATTGATTTTGAAGAAATCATTTAATCCTTATTTGCCTCAGTGTCTCCATATATAATAGGAAGTAATTGCTACTTCCATTTGTTGGAGAGAACATAGTATAGTGGAAAGAACACTGGATGTGGATTTAAAGAAGACTTCTAATGCACATCATTTGTGTGACCTTGGGTCACTTGGCCTCTGGATTTTAATTTACTCACCTTTAAAATGAAGAGTAGTCAGCCTCTGAAGTTCCTCCCAGTTCTCAGTATGTCATACTATCATTTGCCTCAAAACAGCAGCATTGTGAAGATTCATGCTTTCTTTTAAATTGTTTCTTCTTAGGTGTGATACTTCAATATTTCAAAAGATCTGACTTCATTATATATATATGTATATAATGTGCATATATATATATATGTATGTATGTATAGATAAGTAGATATCCATATGTGGAAAGAAAGAGGGAGAGGAAGGGAGAAAGGGAGGGGAGAAGAGAGAGAGAGGTGGGGGGGAAGGGAGGGAAAGAAGGGGGAAGAGAGAGAGAGAGAGGGAGAGGAGGGAGGAGGGGGAAGAGAGAGAGCCTAGTTGATAACCTTCTGGTAATGAAGTTATGTGATAAGGAAGTGATAATGACTCATAAAGAAAACAGGATGGATGTTCTCTATATCTCATATATATATATATATCCCCAAACACTCACCTTTTTTACCTGATGGCCATGCTTTAAAGCCCAGTTCAAAGGCTACCCCTTGGAAGCTTTTCCTAATTTTTTTTTGTCTAATACACTTACCATGTACTATTTTGTATTAGTTATCTATGTATGTATTATCTCCAGCTACAAGACTTTATGAAGACAAGGACTGTAAGTTACGTAAATGTTGTAGCTTCTCTGGTGTTTATCACACTGGTCTGTGTATAGTAGGCAGTGAAAAAATATTTAATTGATTTTTTCTGAATGTGAAAAATTATTTCTACAATTGAGGGATAAATTCAAATTCTAGATTTTTAAGACACGAATGAAAATTGTAGTTTCTCTGTGACTGTCAACCTTTTTGGCAGCAACATCTTTTTAGAATTATTCTCAACATGATTTATAATACAACTGATCATCTATACTCCTTCTACCAATAAATTTGGGTCCTGGCTCTCTGCCAATCACACTACCATGTAATATATAGACTGATGGTGGTTGATCAGTGCAAGTGATAGTCATGGGAGGAACACCTCTGATGTGAAGGAGATAGTAGATACCCTTAATTAATAATCATTTTGAGAATCTGTCCATGGTGAGCATAGGTTGTGACTATAGTTAAATACTTAAAAGCAAACAAAAATATCTGTATATTTTCTTTCTAGTCATATAGTATGGGAAGTCCAACCTCCTGAATACACTTCACTAACTACTCACATCCTGCCATTTTACAGATGGTAGACAGAGGTACAAGCTGTTGATCTTGCTCAGCAGGATAGATCAAACACACAGATGCGTTTTCTGTATGATGAATAATGAAACAACATAAAATTCAAATACTTACGACAATCTTTGCAGCTGGAATACAATTGCTACTATTTTATTTGTTGCTATTTTACTTTGTTTCTTAAGGATGTTTATCATAGGATGGTGAATTTAAAGTTGGAAGGGAATTTAGAGGTCATGTAGTCTAATCTCAATTTACAGATGAGGAAATTGAGGCTGGAAAGGTTAAGTGACTTGTCCAACATCACAAATGTAGGGAGCAGCACAGCCAGTATTTGGACCCAGTTACTCTGGCTCCAAATCCAGTATAATATAGGAACTGCATAAATATTTTTGGTCATTTTTTAGTTCTGAAATAATTTATGTCATGTCAAATGGATGAGCCAAAAAAAAAGTTAAAGATACTGAACAGACCTTATTTACATGAAATGTATGCATAGCCTTCAAATCCAAAGGTTTATTTTTAAATTCCCAATTTACCACAATAAGGCTAAATTTTATATATTATATAATGGTGATTATTTCTTCTCTAAGATTTGAAATCTAAGCAGAAAACATAATAGTAAATGAAGGCCACAGAAGTAATGTGACTTACCTGATGATATTTTTCTCACTGTCATTCACTAATCATTATAATGTGTAGATTATTTAGGAAAAACAAAATTCACATGTGACTCCTGATATTTAGAAGCTGTTGATTTCCCTGACTGTGATGCCATTTCCCACTGATGCAGAATGAACATCTCAAAGTAAATTTGAGGCCTACCAAATATGCTATTCCTCCTTCATGAGGACATATTAAGGTGGCACATACCAGTTTTCAATGAAAGGTATTGGAAATTGACCTTGGATTAGTTAAATGCTATATTGATAGTCTACAAAAGTTCAACATCAAAATTCAGCTATAGATTTATTTCGCCTTTTTCATGAACACTCTGTATGCTGGATAACATTAACTGTTAATGGAATTAAACTAAATGAAGCCATCTTGTACACTGCCTTTATAAAACTCAAAGAAAAAAAATGAGAACTGATAATGAAAAACCCCCAAAAGAGAAAGCAGGATAGTAAATTTGTAACTGCCTTGATATTCATCCCTTTTCTATAAATCTGACTCTTCCAGATCTAGATCTAAGATTCTATATAGGATTATATTTTGATTATAGTTTGATCATATAAGTAATAAAATGAGATGACAGTGAATTGAGGGTTTGGGAGACAGGTATCAAGAAAGGTGTCTATTTCTCAGAGAAGGGAGGTATTTGATAAACATGATGAGACTTCTGTGAGGGGCAAATACATCTTTATCCACTTACTTGAAAGTAAAGAACTAGAATAAGAGTTGCTTTCCATCGTTTTAAGTTGGGAATCCCCAGTCTATGAAACTTCAGTTTATTATTGTCCCTTTCTTCTTCAGGTTTTTACACCCTTCTGCAAATTTGAGAGTAAGAGAGGATAGGTTTTCAAAGACATACTCTCAGTGTGGATTATAATGACAAGTGTGTTATTCAGACCAGGTTTAAGTTGGAATGTTCCCAAATTTATCAGGGACTAAAACTTTATTTAACTGCTGCCCAGTCTTCTTTGATCTGTATTTCATTCAAGGGCATGCCTTCCCTTTTCTTTTTCTCCCTTGACAACAGAAGTACAGGGCTATAAATGCAAGGGTGCAATACATCATGAGATAAAGTCTGGAGAACATGTCCTCTACTAAAATGCACCTCAGTTCATGGCAGCACCAAAGTGTCAGAAACCTCCCAGTTTCAGTTGTCAAAGCTTGTAGTCAAAACTGTAAGCTGGACGTGGCTCCCTTTCCAATAAGATGTGCCCAGAAGTTGAAAGGTTACGCTTGTGGAACAGCAGTTGCTTTTTCCTGTGGTTTGATTCTCACTCCTACAAAGCAAAGAAAAATTCCCAGACTGAAAGACAAATCTGACAATATGCTAATCTTCCAATAAAAAAATGTGACTTCTGAACCCTTATCTGTTGAAGAGCTGACAGTGAAGTTCAGAGACAGTTGTCTAACCAGAAAAAACGATAGAGAAAATATGCCTTCAAACAAGATCATAAATCTTGAATAGTGCAGGGGAGCAAATGTAAAAAGGAAGCTTCTCACTTATGCCAGCCCTACTCTAATCCACCCCCATTTCATACACCAGCCACCCACCTCTAAAGCCAGGACTAATGTGTTCCATACTAGACCCAACCTATAAATACAAAGAGATTATAAAGTAATATTATATCATATGTGGAGATCAGACATTGTTTCCATCTCATGGGGGGAAGGGAAAGAGCAGAAAGCAAATGGAGTGAAATCTGAAAACAACAGCATGTACAATATACACACACAAAAAGTTTGCATATTGCACAGAAGATCATAAATCTATGCATGAGAAAGATGTAGTGGAAATTTTGGGGGGGATTAGAGTTTATTTTTGTCATCTCTGTGAGACAGCTACTCATTCATCCAGATCACAGCTAAGAAAAAAGCTGGTCACAGAAATTAGCAGTTTCAGCTCAGCAGCAAAGTCGCCAGCCTGTGAAGGCAGAGAGAAATTGACTAATTAGCAATGCGCACTAAAACTTGACGGTTCTTTATAGAGAGAGAGAAGAGAGAGGGAGAGAGAGGGAGAGGGAGGGGGGGCTCGCTTTTTCCCCTTCTTTCTTCCAAAGATGTTTGAAATCGCAGTCATTTACGCTCGACAATTTTTACAATAGCCTTGAGCCATAATTTTGCGAGTCTCTCCAGCATCCATCCCCCTGTATGGTCTCTCTCCACTGGCCATGCACGACCGTTTCTCTCCCCAACCGTGGATTTCCTATTACTCTCGTTACGACTCACTGAGCCCCAGGCCCAAGGATAATGATGTGTTGTTTCTTGGTAGCATAATTTGTCACACGTACATTTTTTCTTCTTCTTCTCTTGCAGAAAGCTCTGCTCCCTCTCTCTCCCTCTCTCTCTCCTTCTCTCTCTTCCTCTCTCCCCCTTTCTCTCTTTTCTCTCTCTCCTACATTTTCTTGCTGTTGCTAATTCATGGTGATCAAATGATGTACGACAAAATAAATTGTAAAGAGTGACTGCCTGGAGTTGGGAACCAGAAGGTGTTTTTCCCCCTCCCAAGGAGCGAGGAAACCTTTAAAAAGGAAGGACAATTGATTTTTGGGGGGAGCTGAAGTGATCCTTTACTTTAGCAGCTGATTGAGACCAGGTAAGTTTCTGGCCTTCTGTATACCATGTATATGTTTCGTTTTGTCTTTTGGATTGTTTGCTTGAGGGGGCAGTGAGGGAGTCTTTCAGAGGGGTCGTGGGGTACTTGTGTGACAAACGCCTTGAAAGAATAAACTCCCATTGCAAGAACTGGGCAGACCAGCGAGAGGCAGGGGAGGAAGAGGGAGAGAAAGAAGAAGGAGGGGGGGGACAGGAAAAGATGTGGGGGGGAGACAAGGAAGGCGGGGAGAGGGGGTTAGGAATTGACCGGGTCCACTTAAAGGGAGAGACTCTGTGAGATGTTCCAGGAAAGCCAGAGCCGGGGTGGGGGTGGGGGTGGGGGTGGGGAAGTGAAGGAGGGAGAGTAAAAAGGAGGTTGGGGTCCACCTGAAACTGGGCATTAAAAGTGGTTCGGAGAATTACCAGTCTCTGGTCAAAAGGAAGGAGCTCAAGTGCCGGTGCCAGGACAGTGATCTGCAATGGAAGGAGCAGGTCTCTGTGGGATCCCTCTGACGGGGAGCGGCAGTGGCGGCGGCGGCGGCGGCGGCGGCGGCAGCAGCAGCAGCAACAGCAGTAGCAGCAGCGCTCTTTGGAGCGGGATGTGGGCACAGAGGGTCTCTTTCTCCTCAGCCCTGGAAGGTGCAATTACAGGTTAAGAAAGAGGGCGTATCGATTGTTCTTTGGTCTCCCTCCTCCCTCCTCCCCCTCCTGCATCTGACCTTCCACCTTTGTAGGGCCAAAGAAGCGGACGCATCAGACTTTTTTTTTTTTTAAACAGAGTAGTTGGAGGCTAGGAAAGGTGGGCTAGACTGCAGGGCGCCTGAGTGCGGGTTTATACCGGGCTGTTGAGAGGGGAAACAGGAAGGAGCTGCCGGCTGCCAGTGAAAGATCGTAGGATAGGGCAGGAGGGCGCACCAGTCCCCCACCTGCTTCCCCCTACCCCCACCCCAGCTAGCTAGCTTCCAACTTGAACTTCATGTAGTTACCGGAGTTAAAGCGACAGCGCCTTCTGCCCAAAAGAAAGAAACGCCAGGACAAGGGACCCCTCCCCCCAATCTAGAACAGCCCAGGTGCTAACTATGATCCAAGTGGAGAGCGCTAAACTTCAGGGCTTGGAAATTCTAGGGGGCGGGAGGTAACCTTCGCCAGATTTCAGAGCATCTTTGCAAGATTAGCAAAACTGACTGGCGGAAGGAGCAGCCAACAGTTTGAGAACCAGGGGAGCGGGCAGGGCCAGGGTGGGGGAAATGAGCTCGAATTCATAAGGACAGCTCCCCGCCTCTCGGGAGTGCACTGAGCTAGTCACCACCGCGCTCCACTGCACTTTTCCAGGAGAAGAAAAAGGCTTTATTTTCTTCATTAGACTGCTATTAGTATAGTCGTTCCTAGGGGCACCACGGATAATCGAAGATTCCCCCAGATCTGATTTTATTTCTCAAAGGCCAAGAGTAGTCCACTTTATGGGCTTCTCCCGTCCCGACCTGCCCCAGCACAGCTTCCCTCCCCTTACCCGTCTAAACAAACAGAACTACGAGGAGCCCAGCGGAGGAAGGGACGCACAAGTTGAACTGGAGCCTGCCACAGTCGCCTTTCTCCTAGAGCGCCCCCAGCTCCGTCCTTCCTGGGCTCTTCCTTTCCTCCGGTTCTGGGCATGGACAAGAGCCCACGAGTTTACTCGGCCTTAACAGCCCCATGCACCACTTTGCCGTCGCCGCCGCTGCTGTTGCTGCCTAGCGCAGAGTCAGGGGTGTTTTAGGAAAGTGAGGGGGTCGCATGTGAGTAGGGGGTTGGGGAGGGGGAAGTCTCTGGGAGAAGAGCGGGGACCCAAATCTGGTTGGTTTCAAGAAATAAAGCCCGTTCTGGTGCTGCTCACGAAGACCAGTACCCTCTGAATCATCCCTCCATATACCAGTGGCAAGAGGGAGTGCAGGACCAGGGGGGCAAACTGTGTATTTATTGTTGTTCTCCGCCCTCCCTCTCCCCTCCACACCCTTCCCCACCCCAACCACACCCCATCCCCTCCACCACCTTATCCCCCCATTACTTCTCCCTCCCCCTCCCCCACCCCTGTTTGCCAGGTTGGAGGAGGGTTTAAAGCCAGGTGCGCTGAGGCAGCTCGCCATGTCCAGATCCGGGGACAGGACCTCCACCTTCGACCCCAGCCACAGCGACAACTTGCTGCACGGCCTCAACCTGCTGTGGAGGAAGCAGCTGTTTTGCGACGTGACCCTCACGGCCCAGGGCCAGCAGTTTCACTGCCACAAGGCCGTTCTGGCCTCCTGCTCGCAGTACTTCCGATCTCTTTTTTCCAGTCACCCCCCTCTCGGAGGAGGGGTCGGCGGACAGGACAGCTTGGGGGCCCCCAAGGACCCACAGCAGCAGCAGCAACAGCAGCAGCAGCAGCAGCAACAGCAACAGCAGCAGCAACAGCAACAGCAGCAGCAGCAGGAGGAGCCCGGGACTCCTTCCTCCTCCCCCGACGACAAGCTGCTGGCCAGCCCACGGGCCATCAACAATCTGGTGCTGCAAGGCTGTTCGTCCATCGGGCTACGCCTGGTGCTGGAGTACTTGTACACGGCCAATGTGACCCTCTCTCTGGACACGGTGGAGGAGGTGCTTTCGGTGAGCAAAATCCTACACATTCCCCAAGTCACCAAGCTGTGCGTGCAGTTCCTCAACGACCAGATCTCGGTCCAGAACTACAAGCAGGTGTGCAAGATCGCCGCGCTGCACGGCCTGGAGGAGACCAAGAAGCTGGCCAACAAGTACCTGGTGGAGGACGTGCTGCTGCTCAACTTTGAGGAGATGCGCGCCCTGCTGGACTCGCTGCCGCCCCCCGTGGAGTCGGAGCTGGCGCTCTTCCAGATGTCCGTGCTTTGGCTGGAGCACGACCGGGAGACCCGCATGCAGTACGCGCCCGACCTCATGAAGCGCCTCCGCTTCGCCCTCATCCCAGCCCCAGAGCTGGTGGAGCGGGTCCAGTCAGTGGATTTCATGCGCACCGACCCGGTCTGCCAGAAGCTGCTTCTGGACGCCATGAACTACCACCTGATGCCCTTCAGGCAGCATTGCAGGCAGAGCCTGGCCAGCAGGTAAGAGACAACAAAGAGGAAGGGAGGTGGGGGGAGGAGGGAGGCTGAGAAAACCCTGGAAAGAGGGGGAGGGTGGGGGTGATTCTTGGATGGGCTTAAAATGCAAACAATCAAGACATTTCTTCTGAAAGTTAATTTCACTATCCCCGAAGGGTCAATAGAGAACTGGATGACTTGCAGCCCAGTATAACCTAAATTCCCATTTCCTAATAAAATTAGGCATGGTGGGCTCATAGGCTGACTATGGCATAGGCAGATGTGTAGGGGTGCTGGGGCTGGGGCAGTTAAAAATGATGCATGTGCAAAGCTCCTTGGTAGCCCCTATAGTTAGCACCCCCTCCAAGTCCAATTATAAGCTGCCTGCTTCCTCGAGGGAAGGGCTTCAGTAATGAGATGTCCCCCCTTCCTCTTGCAGTCTTAGTTGGGTGATCAGAAGCTCTAGAGTGTTGCTGGGATTCAAAGGAGAGCACCGCTGTTCTCTCTGTCAGAGCCTCAAGTTTTTTTGGTAGTTGATGTTTGTTCCCTTTCAAGGTTATAATTACTGAGGTGCTTTGTCTGTTAGTGATGCTGCTGGAAACCCTGTCATTCATCTGCCCAGGAAAACTTTTCCATCTTATGGAAAGCCTTTCTTTTTTGCTTTTAAAGGAGGCACACACCAACAGATGCTTAACCCGAAGGGGTTAATGGCTCCCTGTGACCGGCACAGTCCAGCTTGGGGGGAGGGTGTTAAAATGGGGCAAAATGATCAGGCATAGACTATATTTGTTGGGCAAGAGTTAGTGTATGCTGGATCTGAAGTCCAAAAGCAGTTGGCCAGTGGGTTGCTCTTGTTTATAAAGGTGTTGTATGTTGCCAACAGGATTACACAGCAAAGGCCAGAGAGGGAGAAATGATTCTTCTTAAGAACATAGTTGTGGATTTGAAATTCTAAGAATTGGCAGCCATCACTTGCTAACTTCAATTTTAAATCCTTATTATGAGCCTAGGCAGAGGGGTTTTGTTGTTGACTTTAAAGAAAAATAATGTTTCATATTTTACATGCTAAGCCATTGATGATTTAAAATGCCAGAGCAGGCCAGGATAGTCCACCAAAATGTTAAATTAACTGAAAGTATTGAAAACCCATCTTCATATTCTGTTACTGGGGTGATCTCTAAAAAGGGGCATCTACGTGGTACAGGCATAAGGGCTCACATGTTTGTGTTTTAGCCATAGGGCCTTTATCCATTCTTCATATCTAACACCCAATTTTTTCAAGAGTTTTCTGGAAAGACCTGATAGCAGGTAAGGACTATGGCATGGGAGTCCTTAAACTGGGAAGTATAGTTGCAAGTCTAGGAAAACCATAGGCAATGAATTAATGAATTGTGAGGCCAGAGTATGAAAGTGGGATGAGATTCAAAGCAAGAAGCCTGCACCTAGACCTATGACTTACTAATGAACAAGAAAAGTAAAAATTCAAAGAGAACATGCTTATTTTTGTTTTGTAAGAGTTTATCTTTTGTCCAAAACCCAGAATACTATAGATTCACTGTGATGGCCTAGCATTTAAGATGAAAAATTTTTGAGTTGTCAGTCCACATTTTAACTTTTATCTCCACCTAAAGGGCATTGTACTGAAAATAAATGCATAGAACCTGTTCATATTCAAGGCTTAGACAACATTGTCTTTCACTCCTAGTCACAAACCAAGACACCAACATGTAACATAACCTTTATAAATTTAGTATGCATTCAGATGACCAAGTGGATACAGAAAATGCCTTCTAGCATTTCACCTCTTCCTATGAGTGTCTTTAAATAATGTGCTTTTTTAAAAATCACGTATAAAAAAGAAATATTGAGAACCTTGTGTAGACTTTAGCCCACTAAATGTGACCTAGAATTCAATATTCAGAACAGTTGACTTTCAAAATGCAAAGTCCACTACCTATTTTAGTTGAGATTCTGCAAACCACCTGGGGCATGCTGGGGCTAGAGTCCTGGTGGATTGCTAAGATACCAGGCTGTCTGGTTCAGTGAAGATACCTTCCAGCTTCACTGGTCCATATCATTTGAAGGATATGTAGTGGTGTTCTGACCACTGAATGCTTACAAGTGTCATGGATGCTGTAAGAATCTGATACTCTTGCCGTAGGAAGGAAACTGTATTTTCCTTTAAAGGAAGAAGGTGCAGGGGGAAAAAAAAATCTTTCATGTCAACCCACACTGTTGATTCTATACCAATACAATTTTGTTACTTCATGGCAATTATTAAAAAATGGTATTCTAAATTTTTTCAGTGAATCTAAAATTTAATAATGTATCTTAATTCACAATAATGAAAAGGGAATTAACAGTGAAGTTTTCAACATTAATGTAGACTGAGTTGCAGCTTTTAGTATTTTATCTTCTCTGTTCCTTCATCTGTAGCATATTAACCCACATTGTCATGTCCTCTATTCAGATTACAGGAAAAATGTTTTTATACTAGACCTAATCATATTTGAAATGAAATGATTTTTATTTTTAAAGACATTCTTTAAAAAGAAAAAAAAGCACATTAGTCATGATCTGAATATTTATGTGACATTCCAAATGTGGAATATGGAAGTTTCTGAAATCCAGAAACTGAAGTAGAAAATTAAATCTGACTGGTCTGCTGGGCTAAATGCACGATGTGAATAAATAATATCACTTGAAAAGTAAATTGACTTTTAAAAAATTACATGTATTCTCGATATAAAATATAATGTAATAATACCTTGCTAGTATGGTGGTAAAGACATTCTAAGTATTCTTTTCAAGATTATTTGTATAACTTTACATTTTAATGAAAATACCTACAAAGAAAACACAACTCATAAATATAGAGGCTTATTATTGCCTTACTTCCATTGCTTTACTGAGTTTATGGCTCTTGGTTAGGTTAATAATATCAAATATGAATAAAGGACTATGCAAAATTTAGTATATTCACTAATCCAGAGTCAAATATATATATGTTACCAAATGTATATGAATGGAATTATAGGAAAAATGTTTTAAAGTTTTCCTTCAAAGGTCTTACTATTTCCCTAGAAGATAAACTGAATTAAGAAAATGAAAACCTCTTGAAAAGTTTCTGAAAATATAAAGTATTGATGTTTAGACTTGTAAAGAAATTTTTGTGATTTTTTATTATTACATAAATGATTAGGAAGTTCCATGGAGAACTGTATAGTACACAAAAATTAAATAAGAAGCTTTTCATTCTAAATACCTTGAATTTAACTGAAAAGTTCTTTACTTATTTGCTTTGGGGGGGAGGGGAGCCAGTATTTTCCCCCAATACTAGCTTTAAAAATCTTAACACCAAATCATTGTGATGGGTTGGGAATAGTTATTATTTGGGGACTATCCTTCAGCTACAGGAAAGTATGTTAGAAAATATAATATGAAATTCCCAAAGCAACATTTCATGGTAGCTTGTTTTTATATATTATGGTGAAACTTAGGTAAGCCATGAAGTAATCACAATCATGTTTTTGAAGGCCACCTGTCACCATTACTATTTTCTAAGGAATGCAGGCTGTCTCCCTACAAAGATTTCATTTCATACAGAGTATACTCTACGTGAACACATCCGAGAGGAAATATTGCCCAAGTTGCTGGGATAACCTCTGTATAAACATCAGGGGTGGTGATAATCTAGCTGCTAGAGTGATGCTTCACTGGCTTAAGATGTCACCAGATAGTATCCTAAGATCCCTGCCTAGCTCAGTTCAGAGTTGCTGAGTTTGGTGTGTTTAAAGATGACAGGCTTAAACAAGAAAAGTGCTCATTTAAAATTCAGACACAGCATTTTCCATTGATCCTGGTCTTACCAACCCATTAGATACTTGAACAATGCAAACTATATGTCATATTTATACATTCTCTAAATTGTTAATCCTCTACATTAGTTTGGTCACCTCAGATATGAAATTAATAACTAGTGAGATTTTTATACCAAAAGTGCTCAGCCATTCACATGAATTTTCTATTGCTTGAAATTAATATTGATTGCAAAATTGTATCACAGGTGTGGGATAGCCAGTTTTTTGTATATTCCTCCAAAGTAGCTGAAATGAAAAGGACATCAGAACTGATGGTTATTATCATTTATATCTTGAAAATGACTTGCAGACAAAATTCAAGACTAGGATTAAGATTTTGCATGTATGCTTTTTATCTTAACAAAATGATTCTCATTACCTCACAGTTCCATCACTAATCAACCAATTTTCTAAGCTAAAAAAATAAGCTAATAATGTCTCATCTTCCTCAGCTCTCCTATCTCTCCAAAGGATGCTGTAAGAATTAACTAGTTAAGGAACCAATTCTCCACAGGAGGCTTTGTTTGATCATCTTGCAGCTGGAAGGGCAACTGAAGCCATCCATAGTCAATCCAAGTGGTAGATAAAAATTGGTTTCACCCTTCAATGATAGAAGAGGAAAATAAGATTTTAAATTATTTTATTTGGTTATAAATTGGGGGATTAGCACTTGAGGTGTCTCGTGTTTATTGTTTATAAAGAAATAAAAAAACAAAAAGCCTGAGATAATACCCTCTGTATTTTTCCAAATGCAAAGTTAAGGTTTCAAGGTAAAAAGTTGACAGCACAGACTTCAGGTAAAGATTTAGCTAATTTTTATTATGATTGTCAAATTGAAACAGTTAAGAGGTCAATCATTTTTTTAAGTAAGGTGTATGGCTATTCATACCACATATTTCCTGGCAATAGGGGAAGAGTTGGATAAGTAGTCCACTGAGTTCCCTTTTGGAAACCTGACAAGTGTGCTGAAGTAGTTGAGATTTACATAAGGGGAGGTGATAGGTGCTGTGGAGAGATGGGGCAGTGGTGAGGAATCTGGTGACTTCTTAGTCATTGGTCTCCATATTTCAGTGATCACTGAAATTCAACTAAATCAATCATCTAAATGAAAAGGTAAAAGATAGCTTTGAAGCCCCACCCTATATCCTCAACTTGTTGGTTGCT